CATCTTTATTGTTTTAAGTCTCCGTGACTCTTCGTTATCGATGGCCCATCAGATTCGAGAAAGAGACAATAGCATTCCATTATCGAACTCGAAGAGATTCGATGCCTTTGAGCAGAGGTGAGCATACTTATGTTCTGCCGTCAAGATCAATATTAGGTTTAAAATACGATGTTTCACAGTTAGTATTCTGTGACAACCATCTAGATGTGAATCATTTTTCCAATTCGTCATGAAAATTTTATCTTATTCGTTCAATCAGTTCATTGAAAAGAAGCGTTTCTAGAGGTTTCAGTGGAAAAAAATGAAAACGATTGAGGGGACACGGTAGATATTCATAAACGGCGTCAGCTTTGTAAAGAATGATGCCATATGAATCAAAATACAACGTTCCTATTTTTATTTCCAGAATGGTTTTGTTTTTGATTTTTGCCCCTCTAACATAATATCACGTTATGCATAATCTAATCGTAATTTATGTAAGGTTCCAACTAAGAAAACGCGCGAAGGGTGCTCCAGATCGAGATCTTCCAATAAACAATATTCCAGGGTGCATTTTTGCATCAGGAACATGAAACTGAGACTTCGTCCAAAACAGTTAGGGATAGTAACGTCGAAAAAGACTGTTGGAATGGGGGCCATATGGAGCATGAACTGTCCTTTAATTTAACATAATTCCACGTCTTCAATCCCAAGTATTGATGGGATTCCATTCCATTTTTTCTAGAGTGATAGATGATAGCGAATCCTCTCATCACGCTGGAGAAGGAAGGCGCATGTTGTATCGCACTCAAGGTATCCCAGATTTGAGAGATGGTCATCGTGATTTGGAGCGGGCTGATGCCAGAGGTTATGCAGCCAGAAGATCAGGCTAGTGAACTGCTCATTTGTGTTTTTAATTTTGGGTGGAAGAAAATTACCCTAAGATTTGCTTGAGCTCCTGTTATACAAAAACCTTGTTTTATTATTTCCAATGTTCAGGCGGTGCACCACGATTTGGTGCCAAATCTCTTGCCAGAGGTTCAATGAAACGCCGTCACCGACCGGGAGCTTTGGCATTAAAGGAAATTCGGCGACTCCAAAAGTCCACTCATAACCTGATACCGAAGGTTCGAGAAGTTTTCATTCTCCTTCTTAATCTGTAAAATTTCAATAGCTTGATAATTCCAGTTGCCCTTACAACGCCTTATTCGTGAAGTGGTTCTGGATTTGTATCCTAATAGTGAATACCGCTTCACTTTGGAATGTTGCGACGCGTTGCAAGAGGTATGTTGAAGGGTGGTCAGGTAATAGTGCACACCAAATAAACCGCTGCCCATTTATTGAAAGAATCAGCATAAATATCAGTATCAAATGAATTGGTGAACTCCAACTTCTCTCGGGATCTTGAAAACTCGATCCAAACTTTAATTGCCTCTAACAAGGAACTGCCCTGAGTTCGACTCGGAAAATTGGGCAACCAGCCATCATGTCATCTTCATCTTCGAATGATTTCTTTTGTGTAGCATTCGATAGCGAAAGGAAAAAGTGGTACGCTGTTGCACCTGGCTGGGTGTTTGGGCAGCACTTCTTCAAGTCGAGTTGCTTTTGTTGGGTCACGTTACAGTGCGTAGCCGCGCGGTGCCGTGCAAGAATCAGATCGTGCCGTAATTAGACGCTTCTTCACGATCTTAGCGGTCAATGTGTGCTTCTGACAGCATAAGTCCACCGCCAAAATAGCGCAGCTCTCAGTCTCAGCAAAGATGTCACACTCTCCAGGGAATGAACCTTCTGTTGTGGCTCTGTATGTGGCTCTGTCTCTGGTCATTCTTGTAAACTCAGGGTCACGGGGTTCGATGTTGACCTCCGAACGCAAATTCTAATCCTATTATGTAACGATGGACTTCAGCCACCCATCCATGCGCATGTACGAGAGTTCTCAGCCACCTAGGCAGGTATTGACGAACGCGTGCCGTCGACAAGCGGGGTCGACCAGCTTGTGCAAACGATCATTGTCGACTTCGAGTCGACGTCCCGATCAGGCGGAACTTTCAAGGTTGGAGTTTCCCTCGCGGAAACGTTGGACCATTTTGTTTAGTGCATTCGGATACCGTACGTCCTCTGCATAAAGCACAAATGCGACGTCTGGAATAGGTGCTGAGCCGAATTAAGTAGTATAGTAGTAAAAGGTCGTGAAGGTATTGTTGAGAAAGTTGCATACTTCGGAAGTGATAGCTAGAGTTAATGGCTGATAATAATACTGAACTTCCATTCTTATTCTCCCTATAAATGTACAAATCATGTCGGTGGAAGGCATTTGGCAGGTAAAAAATGAGAACGTTTGGGAACTACAAGCTTTTCCCCCAACCTGATACTTCAGCCACGAGGTAATCAGGTAGCATGTCTATTCTGGCTAAGAGTTCCCGTTCTATCGTTACTGAAGGCCATAGTCAGTGGTCGTAAGTTTTGAAGTCATTGCGTTCTGAGATAAATACAAATTTTTTAAACATAATACAAATTTTACCGTGCGATAGTCGCCACGGAGAGTACATCTTATCTTCTTTGTCCATCATTCCTCGTACTCAATCATGAAGAGTAGGTCGCTTAACTACATAGCAATAAATTTAGTGAAGAGTAGGTCGCTTAACTACATAGCAATAAATTTAGTGAGTATTGGAAATTTCTTCTACTCTACGAAAAAAATGGAAAAATTATTTGAAGGCTGCCGAAGCCCATCTGATCCAAATTCGATCGATCGCCAAGAACCTGCGCCGTTCATGCAAAACGTGTGACTGTGAAACCGGACGATATTCATTTGGTCAGAAAGCTCCAACGATGGTAGATGGTTTGTAGTGTCACGACTGTTTGAGTTTCTAAAATTCTATATAGTAATTTTTTATATCAATGCCAATCAGCTCGCACAACTCCCGTATTCCTTTTCCGTATAAAAGGTTCATTTCAAAAAAAAGTGTTGCCGATGGTTGAGATTTGAAGGAATACTCTTTTGTATAGCTGTCAATTGTCTACAGTTGTGAAAGGTAGTTTTCCTGAAAAATCGAACTTTCTCAATCATCGTTTAGCAGATTTGCTTTCTCTTCTCCCATAACTAGATTTTATTCTGTATGATTGAAATTGGACTACAATTGTCTTATCTTATATTGATCGCTAATATAACTTACCGAACGTTTTTGTCATTGACATATAACCACAATGATAGCTGCAACTGTTTTATTCACATATTCACAGCACTGCCAAACGCGTTTATGTTAAAGGTTCCCCTTTATTCTTCTGCTTGACGCTGCTGTAGCCTTGTACTATCTTGATGATATTTTGTAAATTTGCTTCCTTTTTGATAAAATGATTTCCTTGCTGTTGTGTTAGCTTTTAAATGGAGCAAGAGATCCACAATACAGAAAATTTCGTAGTCCATGAAATCTGATTACTGTGTAATGTTTTGTTAACAAAAACACTAAATGTGGTGAATACCGAGATGGCTAGGTAATGAACCACTGGACTCGAACGAAGTTATGCCAACAAACTCTTTTATTTGCAAGAAATCAACAGCAAGATAATAACAAAAATGAGTCAATAACACACAAAAATAAACAACAAAGACAGCGTGAGAATTCTTCAGAATGTGGGCGACGCACGCTCTATTCCCAGCGAAAGAATTACAACTGATCCCTTTTTCGGGAGTGAGGAAAAACTCTCTACCTAGATTTCTTCTGGCCCCACCAGGAGCGAAATCACTCTCTGGCCCACGCTAGGGGTACCTAGTCCCGCTTCTAGGGAACCGAAAAGAATGAGAAAAACCCTCACTTCTGGAGGGTGTGCGACGTAAAACAAACTCGAAGTGGCATAATGGCGGACGCTTCCTTTTTGTAGCGCCTTTCCCGCGCGTATTGACTGCCCGCCATTATTGAGCAGTAGATCACCGTGATCTCCTCATTACAACTGCATAACTCTGTATTTAGCGCAAAATCGCAAGAACAAAGCGTCCGGAGCCAATGTGTATGTAACTCGTTTTTGTCGTTTCTCCCACTTAAAGGACGAATTCACGATGAAAAAGCAACCCATTTCAAATTAACCTA